GCTCACTGGCAGCGCGCGGCGCGGCGGCGGCGTCGCGCAGCACCTGCAGGACACCCTTACGAACAACGTGTTACAGCACTAGCACCGGCGTGGACGTGCGAACATAGCAGCGCACAATGTGCACAGTATGACACATCGTATCCTTGCCAGACATTTGCCTTTTCATTTTAACTACTTTGTTAACTACTTACATTCATGTTGAGCAATCGTTTTCTTTGGTGGTTTCACTGTTCACTCCTTCTGGTCTCGGGTACCTTGGGTGGCCTCGGGCTCGGCCAAGCGGAGCTGATCTGCAGAAAAGTGTACATTAGCTTTTCAGTTTGAGCAAGTCAGCATTTGTTAGGGGCCCACAAAGCTATGCGATATAAAAGTTGTGAAGCAGTATAATTTGTTTTTAATTTAAGTTTGACAGTTTCGAGCCATTCTAGAAATTACCGGCGGAAGACAGCTGTGCTTTGCACCGATAGACATACGTGTGGACAGCCATTAACCTCAAAGAATGCACGCAACCGAAACAGAACTTGTTTCAAACCCACAATACCGAACTTCATGTAAATATTGTGTTTTGGGACATTCGATTTTGCATGAACTTGAGTTGCACATATGGCCGCCTGTGCCATTGGTGCCGGCTGAGTCGAGTTGAGCCGTAGAGCGAACGAACATAAACTATAATACTCTTCCCAAATCGCTACAACACACAAGCTATTACCGTACTTACCGTACTCCCGCACACTGGAGCGTAGTGAAGTTTCCTGAAGTTTTAGTTTGCGTTTCTCACTTCACCAGCACGACGGAAACACACGTTGTAAACACAACAATAACATCGGCAGTCAACAGGCACCGACAGTCCCGGCGGGTGGCGGCGGCGGCAAGTGGCGCGGCGCGCGGCGGGCGCTGTTACTACACACAACGGAACGGTCTCGCAGCGCGCGCAAAATTCAAGTCGATGAAACTAGTGAAATGACTTCAAGCCGGTGACAACCCACGCAATAACATATGGTTAGGCAAGGAGCCTATTATTGTCACATTGTAGAATGATTTGCTTGTAACGCAATGACTTTTGGTCTTATTGTACTGTCTTGCGAGTGACTTCTGTGATTGCTGATGATTCCCTGGTCGATTTTTCACTGATTTTTTGATTTTATTTTGATTTTTTGATTTTATTTTGATTTTTTTGATTTTTTGATTTTGATTTTTTGATTTTTTTTTATTACTTCTGATTTTTTTTGTGATTTTTTCGGCCGTGTACAATGATTTTCGAAGACAGCACCCCCTCGATGGTGTGCCCAGGCCTGGACAAGCAGAGTACATTTTTCTTTAGTACCTTACTGGTACAAAATATATTTTCTTTCTTTTCCTTATAGAACTATGTTAAGTTTACATACAAAACAAATCAACAAAATAAAACAAAGGTGTGATTGTCATCAAACAGGGTACCGTTCCCTAATGTGGTCCAGGATAGCATGGAACTTCACCACAGCTGCCGCCCCATGTTTTGGCGACCACATAAATTCATCAATGTATTCATACAAATATTTGCTTTGCAATACATTTCGACCTCTGCAGTACTGTTTCATGGTGCGCCAGTACCCACACCATCTGCTGACTTGAACTCTTTTGAGTGGTTTGAGTTCCCAGTCTTGTGGCTGTAACCATGGTTGCTCAAACCGTGGTACGCCTTCCACATGTCAGACCATACTTCAGATCCTCTATTTACATGCTTCAGAATTTCAGGGATCATGGTCACCTTGTCTCTTCTTACCACGTGGAGGATGATGCCTTGCTTGATACTCTTGTCGTACATGCCAAGGACCCATTGACTGTTTTTGATTGTCTTTCTACGATTGTGTTTTCGCTTTGTGACAGCACTTTCATCAATCTCAATGATGTGCCCTGGTCCCCCAATTTAAACAGCATCATCATTGAGAACTTTCCAGGAGCACACATCACGAAGGAATCGATAGTACTGGATTACAAGTGGTTTGCTGAATCCAGTGACCTGGGTGACAACCCCACACGGGGGGAAACACAGTGTTATTAAGGCGGTGCTCGAGTGTTGGCAGGGGTTGCCTAGCTGCCAGGGGGGCCATCCAGATGCTGTCGGGCCAACATAATAATCT